AGGCTGATTTCAAGATCCAACGGAAAGCAAAAATAAATGATTCCAAACCAAAAAAAGTTAAAGAACTCGTGTTTTGCAATATTTGCGAAAAAACAGTAAGAAAAACTAAACTTTTGCGACATTCTTGTACACGAAGTATTGAAGTTTTTCTCTGCAAATCATGTCGTAAGTACATTTGTTAATAACCTTAGTGGGTATTTTTTTACAATATCTTGCAACAAACAACTTAAAAGTATTTACTTAGCTCGAACCTTCAGACATCGCAGCACTTTGATTCAACATGAACATATACACGAAAGTAATAGAGAGCGAAAATTTGCTTGTGGGGAGTGCGGTAAGAAATTCTTTACGCAAACGGCACGCAAAAATCATTTGAAGACGCACGACCCTAGTCGAAAACCGTTATTTCATTGCAACGATTGTGGGCAATCGTTTTTGTTTAAAGGTAATCTGTTTGTACACCAACAGAAACATGCAGGCCAAACGATACAGTGCAAGTATTGTCAGAAGCGTTACGTTCGTTCTATTGATCTTGAAGTTCATTTACGAAGCCACACGGGTGATACGCCATTTAAATGCGATAAATGCGAAAAAGCCTTTACAAAAATGTCCACACTGCGAAAGCATTCACAATTACATGAGGGACTACAGTGGAAGTGTGAGGACTGCGGGAAGGAATATTCATATGAATGGACACTACAAAGACACCGTCTAGAACATACGGGGTTGCCGTTAAGATGTTCAATTTGTGAAAAAGAATTCCCCGAAATGTACAAGTAAGCCTATAAAGTAATTTACCTTTATGATAAAAATGCATATTTTCATCCTTAAAAAAAAAAAATAGAGTACGCCGACATATTAAGAACGTGCACAAGATTAATTTGCCCGAAATAGAAAACTTCGTTGTATCGCTTAAAGGGAAAAGGAAGAATGGAAATGTAACCCAACATTCTACTGAGAAAGCGGGAGAGCTTGCAGTAATGAATTAGGAATTAAAATTATTTGACGCATTGAAAATTGATGGGTAATATTTTTAACAACCACACATAAATAAGAGATGTACACATGTTTGTGGTGTGTAAACGAGATGTTTAAAGTGCAGTCATACTTGGCTATGCAAGTTCGTATTCTACATATTTTGTCATCAAATTAAGGAAGTGAAATAGTAATCAATCTTCGTGTGAACACAAAAAAATGGAGGGGTATGAACCAAATATATTTTAAAATTTCCAATGTTAATTAAAATTTTTTGAATTTCTTTTGAAAGGTTTTAAGCACCGAGAGCGAAGGCAGAGCGATTACGTTCTCGATGTTCGCATTATGAGAGTAAAAGATGCACTGACGAAATGTATGGATCGCGTTTTGAAAGTGCTACACGTTCTATATTTATTGACGGTATTGCGATCCGCGATCCAGATTACAAAATGTTTAGAAATTTTGCGATATAGATCACGAACCATGAATACTGCATGCTACACCGTCAATAAATATCGCGATACTTGTATAACGTCAATAAATACGGACCGTGTGACGAAGCCCTTAAAGCAATTGGTGCGATTTGCAAAATATATTTGTAACGAACGTAATAAATATTTTGAATTGAAGCTCTAAAAACACATCATTTACGTCATATCCATCAAATTAGTATTTTTGACTTTTTGCTAAGAAATCCTCAAAAAAGATTTTTAAAATCGTCCGACTGGCAGAACAAGCGTGATGGTATCTTTAAATTTTAATACAAAATAGCTGTATTTATTGAAAAAACAAATAAAATTACATTAATTATATTAATATTTTTTTGTTTTCCGATTTTTTTAAAGCAACAGGACTGCGGTTTGTAATATACCAATCGATAAAAATAATATCTTTGATTTTTTATAAAAAAAAAATAAGCAATGGCCGAGGTTTATTGATTTCCAATTTTAGAATCGTACGAAAACAAGGAAAGTTACACAAAACTCTCAGCAAATAAAAAATTTACAAAATTTGCATTTAATTATTTTCAACACAAACATTACTCGGACAATTTTTTTGGAGAATATACTCGGATAAACAAATGTTTGCCGAAGTTTACACAAAATTACACCAATTTTTCGAGTCCGAGTTTTCTTCGGTTAGCTTGTGGAACAAACCTAATTCAGCATTTTTCATCACTTAAAATTAGAAATCGATTCGTAATTATCGGTGGTTGCAACAGAAAAATCGATTCCCGTATATAAGGGTTATCGAATTATCTCATCTTAATTTGTTTATAAAACTGCAATGAGTTTGGCTATGGCAAATATATGTCGGGCGTGTTTATGTAAAAAGCAGTTTAAAGAGCTTTATGATTGGTATATGCCGATGGACGACATCAATGAACCACTAACGTTAATGGAATGCTTTCAATTATGTACACAACTGGATGTAAATAAGACGTCATCAAAATCCAAAATGAAGATGCATTACTTATGCAAGGACTGTGTACATGAGCTAATAAATGCATTCAGATTCATAAGAAAAGCACAAAAGTCTGATCAGGAGCTATGTAGAAATGACACTGGATGTAAGAATCAATCGGAACGTTTCGAGTTAATAAATATGCAAGAGTACGATGATTCCAATTGTTGCGAATCTGAGCAAGTAACACATGAAGAGGTATATATATATATGAACATATGTTTGCATGCATGTGAAATATTTAATAAATCTTTAATCTTGAAAAAAAAAATTGTCTGCATTGAAAGCATTTAGCTATTGAATACTTAATTGAAGAACAAAGAGAAGCTCACGATTTAGACACTTTGAATAGTTCCCCCGAAAATCGACAGTCTACAAACAATTTTAGAGAAGATGGAGTCACCGATATAACAGACTCGGAGAATTATTTACTCACGGAAATAGAAGAAACAGAATTATGGCATTTAAAGGATTCCAAAAAGAATGAATGTTTAGAGGAACGCCTCAAATATAAACCCAACAGCATCGATGATCCGGAAAAGGAATTATCACGAATGGCTCCAGAAATAGGTAAGCAAAGTGCTACCAACGCATGTGGAGCATCTTCTATGATTATTTGCGAATACTGCAGTAAACCATTAAAGGGAAATCAATACAAGCGACATATATCTCGGTTTCACTCCAAAAATGAACAAATAATGCTTAGTTACGCATGCCGTAAGTTTATATTAAAATAATCATATATTTATCGTATTTTTCCTAAATCGGTAAAGAATCGAAAATTTTTTGCTCAACAAGTACATATGTACATTTCATTAACTGGATAAACAAAGTTATGTACTTTCGTTATAGGGATATTATCTTCTATGAAATTTCAAAATTGTTTCTAGTTAACCAAAGGCGCGATCTAAAGAATTTAAATAATAAATTCTGCAATTTTATAGTTTCTGTATATAAAAAAACTGCGCATAAATATTTCCTGCCCATAAATAAATATATTTATTTTAAAGCCCTTGAGCTTGTACTTTACGGACTACTTATAGACTTCGGTAAAGCTCCGATTAGTTTTGTTTTGAATAATATTGGATTTGGAAAAGTGGTGAATGCACAAGAAAATGTTAATGCATAACATTTATTCAAGTTTCAATGATGTGTTCCGCACTTTTTTTAAGTAATTGTTTTGTGAAAAAAATACGGTTTTCTTTGTTGTTCAGCGTCTACCTTTGAAGATGCAGTTGGATTGAAGAGGCACGAAGAGACCCATCAGGCGAATAGAAAGAGGTCTATAAGTTGCAACGAGTGCCAGCGAAAATTTTTTACTCAACATGCATACAAAACCCATATTAAAACTCATGAAGAAAACCGGGAACCCCAATTCAAATGTGACCAGTGCGAAAAAACTTTCTTTTACAAAGGCGGTCTAAAGCTTCATAAACAATGTCATACTGGGCTTTCGTTGAAATGTAAAGTTTGCTCAAAGCAGTATCCGCGGCCTGTTGATCTTGAAATCCATCTAAGAAGTCATTCTGGTGAACTACCATACAAGTGTCCGAAATGCAACAAATGTTTCAAGTATGTTCATGTTTTGAATAAGCACGTCCGGCATCATGAAGGTCATCGTTATAAATGCAACTTGTGTGGAAAAGAGTACGCTCATCAATCAACAATGCTACAGCATCGTAAAGAGCACACAGGCTTACCGTTGCGATGCTCTATATGCGACAAGGGATTTGTAAAAAAATCAAAGTACGTTTGGAATAAACATGTATCAATGTATATTCTATTTGATAAGTTTCGCCATATTACTTTTAGGATGCGACGCCATATCGGCGGTGTTCATAAAGTGACGGATGTCGAGGAAATCGATCAGCTTATTGTAAAAGTAAAAACAAAAAGCATTTACCGGGGACGTGTAACGGAGATATAATCATTAATAATAAGATAAGATATAATCATTAAAAACATTATAATAAGTTTAGATTTCAATTACATTTATTTATTCTCAAACATAAGTATCAATTAAGTTTAACCAACATTTCCTCTATGTCGTTTGCCACATCTCCACCACTATCCTTTACTTCAATCTCTTTCATAACACTGTCCGCTTGTACTAAAGTAAGTTTTTTTCTATGTAAAGGTTTCGGTGTTTGTAATTTTGTAACTTTAAGAAGTTCCTCTTCTGTCAGATCAATAAGATGCGTCGATTTAAGGTGTACTTTAAATCTGTGAACATATAAATTATTTACAATTAATAAACTCAATATTCCAAAAGCAGAATTTGGGTTACTTTTGTTTGGAGGGATATCCCCGCCCGCAATAACTGCACGGAAAAGGCATTTCGCTGTGTACAAAAGAATGTTCTTGCAAAGCTTTTGTTGAAGTGAATAGCTTTCCACATTCTTCACATTGTAGCTTCAATCCTTGGTGTCTCCACATGTGTGTGCGCAGGTGCCCTTTTATAGCGAATTTTTTTCCGCACACTTCACATTCAAACGGATACTCTCGAGTATGGAATCGCATGTGTACATTTAATTCATATTGGCGTACAAATTGCTTCCCTGAAATTTTTCGTATTGTTTTTAACGTGCAATATCTAACTTGTTCGAAGTTAATACAAACCGCATTGATCACAATTTATTGTATCGCCTTTATGAAGGCGGATGTGATTTTCCAGAGCTACTTTACTGACATAAACTTTATCGCAATAGTCACATTGGTGAAGTTGTCGCTCGTTACGATGTACATCACAATGCAAGCGCAGGTAGTGTTGTGTGGAAAATCGCTTACCACATATTTGACAGGCATCAGATTTGACACTAACTTCTTTGCGTTGGTGGTACTTATGATGCGTATTTAATAAGGTCTGAGAGAAGAACGTTTTATCTAAGAAGAATGCAAAAGGCACCTTTGTTTAAATCAATCATGTTCATAATAGATTCTAACTGACCGCAAAAGTTACAAGGGTAGGTAATCGAATTGTCGTGAGTTCGACGCACATGGTCTTCCATTTTAACTTCCAGACATCGATATTCACATTCACTGCACTGTATAATCTTCGAATGATTGTTTTTTATGTGTTGACGTATTGTTTCTCCTTTAGTTACTTTTTGATGGCAAATTTTGCAAATAGAAGCTTTTCCATCAAAGGCTTTATGAGTTCGAGAATGAAGCAATAGCTTTCGACGAGTTTCAAATGATTGAAGGCAAGTTGAACAGTAGAAGGCAGAGTTCAAATCTATGAGAAGATAAGTATTAGCTTTGTTTGAACATAAAGTGCGTATTGAATGTTTTTGTTTTTACCGATTTCATTATCATCGATGATGATTTTCTCTGTATTAACATCATCCTCTTCGAAACTCTCATGGGTTATATTTCCACCATCTATGCCAACGTCCATTAACTCCAAGATGGAATGCTTTTCGGCTTCTATTAATGGTGCAGATTCATTTGTTATCGTTTCATTCAGCGAATCATTATCCTTTTCATTATTTTCTGAATAATCGATATTCAAGTTTCTATTCAAAGAGTCCTCTTCGATTAGTTTTATTGATAAAATAGGAGAGCTTGTATTATGGCTATGCTCAAATTTCGGGTTAAAATAAGAGCCACAATGTAAACAAAGCACCATCAACGCTAATGCAATACATAAAACTTGATATGAAAGTTCTTAATATAATCATTTCATTGCACATTACCTTGGTTTTCCGTTTCTTGCGTGGTTATATTGTCATTTCCATCTTCCTCCTCTTTTAAAGTTGTTACGACATTTTTCTGTAAAAGCAATTAATGTTTTTGGTTATCCAGGAAACTGTTTTAAGTTTTATTACAGCTTTTATACTTAAAAATTCAGCAACTTCTTACATCATCGCTGACTGATGACAATACTTCCTCATCTGCTACTTCGAATTCTGTTTCATATTCTTCAAAATCACCAAGAAGCACAATGCTTACATTTTCTTTGCTTTCTAGGCTACCTTTTAAAATTGTATCTGCATATACAGATTTCTTAATGAAGTTCCAAGCAACATCTAATTCAAACCCGCATTGTTCACAAATACTTTGAGGCATTTCCTCCTCTCGATCAGCTGCTGCTAATTGCGTACAAGTTCGGAAGCAATCCATATATGTAGTAAACATGCTTGATTGATGAGTCTCCAAGTGGAAGCTCTCAGGATTGCTTTGCTCGAAAGGAGTCTCCAGATCTATATAGGATAATGAAGTTTTGAGGCATACTCGACAGATCGGAACTATATCCATAAATAAACTCTAGTTAAATCTATCAGCTTTTATTTAATGCAATAATACACCAAATATAAGTAAATAAACACAAAATTTACAAAAGTGTGCAAAATGTCAACACAGCGCCCTAAAGATGAGTATAAATAAATTATCGACCTTATAATCGATAGGAATTATAAAGTACACAATAAAAAAATTCTAGTTCTTTTTCCTATTTTTAAGAAAAGGGTGTGAGGTGAAAAACATTCCTACCAAAAGAACTTCACACAAAATGTGACTAGGTGATTAAACTCCATCTAAATTGACGGCTATATATACGTATATCATATATTACGTCGGAATGGGCGGGCCGAAATTAATGTTTATCACATGCACGCGTTGCTAAAAGAATACACTTTTGTTTAAAAGTACATTTATAAATTTAACATTAACTAATTCTATGTTGAAATACCATCAATTGCTGGTTACAAAGCTACTTATTACGTGTTTATTTACCACGTGTACATGTTGCCAGAGGATCATACTTGACAAAAGAAAGGTGTTCTGTGAAAAAGGTGTTACGCCCGATTCCTTCGACAACACAGAAAGGAGAATTCTTTTTAGTAAGGGTTATAATCCTTAAGCTCGACCAGAGGCCGCCTACGAAGAAAGAACTTTTTCAATGGAAGCCCCTAGATAGAGCCTGGGGTCCTCACTTTTATGCACAAGAAATATTAAATACATTTGGCGGCCCTACTCTTGTCCGGCGATACGGAAAGGCTCAAGTTATTGCCTTCATCTACTCAAAACAAGCAGAAACGCAGGTAAAAATTTTAATTTTTGCCCATTTTTGTAAGAACTCCCAATGGACCTGTATGGCGCCTCGGCAGTTGGGAGTTAAATTTTTGAAAACGGCAGTTCATGCCCTCTCTAAAATGGGGTGTGGGAGGTGCCACGCTCCCTCCCTTCCGCTCACCACGCACACAACGATTTGCCGTAAAGTAAAGTTTCCCTTAAATTGATTTTGAAAAAGGGTAGAAAAGGCTATTTCTTATTAAAGATGAAGAATTCCATACATTCTCTTAAGTCTAATAGTGCAACTCCAAAACAAGCTTTTCAGGCGTTCCGCGCTTTTCAGGCTTTCAGCAATAGCTGACTTGTATAGTTGAAAGCCTGAAATGCGAAAAAAAGATTATTGTGGAGTTGTACTCTAATAACGGCTGTACTACTTTAAACTTAGCAAAAAAAAAATCAGCTCAATACAAAAAAAAGCGCGAAAATTTTGGGAATTGAAATATAAAAGTTTAAACTATGGAAAATTCAATTAAACTCGCGTTTTTTTAAGACTAGCTGGTAAAAAACTAACAGTTTTGCTGGTTGTTGTCTCATTTACAAAAATTCAAACCTGAATGAGAAAACTTTAGTTTCGGAAATCACCAATTTGATATAAAAAATCTTAAAAAATTGTTTGGGCTGAACATATAGCATTATAATATATTATTAATTCATAATTTGATCATAAATTTATTTTAAATATGTTCGATCAAATATAATAAATCAATAATTTTGCTTAACAAATATATTGTGTTACTCAACTAAAAATTACAGTTGATTTGACAGATTTCAACTGGAAAAGTTTGAATGTAATATAGAACTCGAGATCAGTGAGCCTTAAAACGTAGTACGTTTACTTCTTGAGAAATTCTCCTTACTTTTAGAGAAATTGACAGCTCATTCGACAGCTGTCAAATCTCAAAGTTTTAATTTCACGCAAAATTCGTGACTAGCGTGTCTAAAAACCTTATCAGTAGCATTTAAAAAAACATATTCTTATTATCAGAAAAATTAACAGTCAATTTGACAGCTGACAACTCTCAAAGCTTTAATTTGATGTAAAATTCGTGATGAGCATGTTTAAAAACCTTATCAGTAACGTTTTCAAAAAGATTCTCTGATTTTTTAAGGAAATTGGCAGTCCGTTTGACAGCTGTCGACTGTCAAAATTTTATTTTGACATAAAATTCGTACCTAAAATCCTAATAAGTGGTATTTTCAAAGAGGTTTTCTTATTTTTAGAGAAATTAGCAGTTGATTTGACAGCTGTCAACTGTCAAACTAAAAATTTTATGGCACATTCAGATTTAGCATAACAAAAATACTACGATGATGCATTTTTATTATAATCGTAACAGCCCTTCTAATTTTTTGCTTCTCCGAACACTGTGTCCCATACAATTTTTAAATTGGGACTTGGCAACTTTTCACTCTAAGCTAGCGATTTGTACTTAGGTAGTCCGATATTTTAAGAAACGAATTATTTTTAATTGGTCCTGCTTCCTGCAACAAAATATAATTTTTCAGAAAAAGTGGACTTAGCAACTTTTTACTCTTAGCTAGCGATATGCAGTTTTAGAAAGTAGACTAAACAAGTTATGTAAAAAATACCACAATTCGTTTGCTTTTTAACTGGCAAGAATCTAATTACCATCGGAGTGGTTCGTTTTCGGTGATAAAGAACTAGTCCTGAACCTGAAATTTGTTTCACTTGTTAGGATTTTCCATGCAGGGTATACTTACTGTAGTTACTACCACACTATTTTAATTCCATAAATACATACAGATGCGCCTGTTAACATACATACCATTTACCACACTCACATACATATGTATGTATGTATGTATTTATTTTAATAGTTGTACACTGTGGTTCATTTCATTGAATTA